CCACCACAGCGCTCTCATTACATGCACACAATTGATTAGCCTTTACCATTCTGACCCCAGAATTATAAAGCTTCTTGGTTCATCAAGTTGAATGAAATGATAGGGCTTTATTTCCTCATACCTCACTTTTAATGCTAAACATGGATGAGCAATGCCAATGAAAACTTATGCTAGTTACAATTAATTTCTTGAAAGTACAGATACTGTATCTGTATCTGTACTTTATGCAAGCAGCAAAATTGTACATGGTTCAATATCCTATGGCTATCAAAACAAGTTTTTACGCTACAGAAAATTTACTTTACTAGATTGTGTTTGTCCACAGGAATTTTCTTGCTTTAGACTCTACACAAGAACCCGTTAAAGTATTTATTTTCTGAAAACTGGGCTTGGGACTCAGATCCACCATTCCACACTGATAATGTATTGGCCGCAAGCCTTGGGAGTCCCATGGAACTCAGCCTATCAACAAACAGAATTCTGATGCCAAAATTTATTTCACTACAGGCATATCGAGAGATTCATAGGTTGTCTGCTAAGACAAACAGCAGAGTGGAACAAAACTAAGTTTTCCCAGTGCCAAACCATCCCAATCTTTCTCACACACATACGCACCAACCCTCCTCAAGCCTTGCACAGAGGGACGTCTATACATAAGGGGCATCCTGATCTTATTAGGAGGCCTGAATAAAAACTATAGCTAAGAGAAAAATATTTTAAATTGACTTATTAGCTGACTTTATAAGAAAAATGAAGCTCATTTTTAACTAATCCACTGTTTTGATAGAGCTTAACAAATGAAGGCAAAATGTGTCAAAGAAAGAAAAAAGCTCACTGTAGACCGGGGTGGGCAAACTATGGCCCAGGAGCCATATCTGATGTTTTAATTTGGCCCTCAAGCTCCTGCCAGGGAGTGGGGTCCAGGGCTTGCCCCGCTCCAGTGCTCCAGCCGGGGAGTGGGGTTGGGGGCTTGCCACACTCCGTGTGGCTCCTGGAAACAGCAGCATGTCCCCCCTCTGGCTCCTACATGTAGGGGCAGCCAGGGGGCCCCACACCCTGCCCCAGCCCCAAGCACCGTCCCCCCAGCTCCCATTGGCCGGGAACCACGGCCAATGGGAGCTGCAGGAGTGGCACCTGAGGACGGGGCAGCGTGCAGAGCTGCCTGGCCGTGCCTCAACGTAGGAGACTTGGGGGGGGGGGGGGGGGCCAACCCCCCCCGCGGCGCCCCGGCGCGGCACTGAGTGCGGCCTGGGGCCTACACCTCTGCCCCCCTCCCGTGCCCCAACCCCCCTGCCCCAGCCCTGATCCTCCTCCCACCCTTCAAACCCCTCGGTCCCAGCCCAGAGCACCCTCCTGCACCTCTAACCCCTTATCCCCACCCCAGAGCCTGCACCCCCAGTCAGAGCCTGCCCCCCCCTCTCTCACACACACACACACACACACACACACACCCCAACACCCTGCCCCAGCCCACACCCTGAAATCTTCATTTCTGGCCCCAACCCAAAGCCTGCACACTGAGCTGGAGCCCTCACCCCCTTCCACACCGCAACTCCCAGTTTCGTGAGCATTCATGGCCCCCCATACAATTTCCATACCCAGATGTGGCCCTCGGGCCAAAAAGTTTGCCCACCCCTGCTGTAGACTATCCCTTCCCCAAACCAGCGATCCCTTTTTACTACCTGTTAGAAAGGCCGCCCCTTTGAGAACTATTAGGCATAAAGGAAAACGTTCCTACATTCTTAGTAGCCATATTAAGCTTAAGAAATGGTTCTTACTCAGCTGGGTTCCAATTTGACCCTATGGTTAGATTATTATTTCTCAGGGGGGTTTTTTAAGTGACCGTTATGAAGTCTCTCAAAAACATTAGAAGGCTAAATGTTCAATTTACTGATGTCAGTTCTGAACATAAGAGTGAGAGTAAATTTCTAATTACCCTTCACAATGAGAATGAAGGTGACCTAAGTCAGTCAAGAACTCTGAACGAGCTGAGCTGTAGAATCAAAGGGAAAAAACACCTAAGGGAAAGGAGCTTAATTTCAAACAAACAATTTTTGACCCGAAGCCATGATAGACACACGAGTCTCCAGTTGCAGAGAACTAGATTCTTGCCAAACAATCTAGGAAAGAAAGTGAGGCTGAATGCTCTGAATATACCACACGACATTTCCTTACTAATTGATACTACAAAGTAAGAACATGCTGCCACAGAGGCTGTAAGGAGGGAGAAAGCAGAAGATGATTTGCTCTCAAGGAAGTTATTTTTCAATCTCAATACTCATTACCCTGTAACCATTCTAGGACGGACTAAGATTGCTTGGAAGTGGGGAACAAAATTTTTTTCTACATCTACAAACCAATACATTTGTGCTATACAAGATTAAAAAAAACAAGTAATTTTAAACTGACTGACTGAGCAGATGTACTAGCCCTGGGGATCAGAGGAAGTTGGTATGTGAAATATGCATTATTTGGTTTTCCTTGAAATCTCTGACTTTGTGAAGTCAGAAGACAACACAGAGATAACAACCAAATAGGTAAAAAATAATGTTCCCCAAACCAGAACAGGTGCTCATACTACAGTGATGTGGCTATGTATGTACCTAAATAGCAATCCCTGAACAGAAACCTTGATCAACAGGATCCAAAAGGAGTCACTCTTCATCACAGTTTTTGACAACTGCACACATTGTGAAATGTTTTCTGAACTCCAAAACCTTGTGGTGGGGAAGACTTCTTGTAGATGAATTTTTGTGCCAATGGAGATCATTGAAAATACTTTTGCTGAAAGACCCTAGACTTGTAAACTTGAGGGCTGGAGACAAGGTATTCACAGTGGATGATCTCACTGCTGTAGAACATTGTCAGACCTGTGCATGTTTGTTAGCCTTCAGACTGAAACAGAACATTCATCTTTCCAGCCAAGCATTTGCCCCACACAGTCTAAGTCTTGCGGCATTTTCTCTTTTGATTAATTTTCTGATGTTTCTTGGGTGGGTAAGTGGAGGGTTACTATTGCTACACATTATGAACATTCATAAATCTCGTGTGTGGCAGCAGGTACATTATATGCTAAATAAATGAATTTAAAAGCAAATCAAAAACAAAAACAAAAAAAAAAAAGAGAGAGAAGTTGTGATCTAGTGAAGTAAAAGTGACAAGGAAGTTTGTGAATAGTACTGGTCCTGGAGGGAAAAAGAAAATCTCTTGCTGCCTAGATCAGGAAAAATGTAAACTCTGAGTAAAACAACCAGGCTAGAAAACAAAGTAAACAAATGCAGCCAAAAGCACCATGAGGTCATAGAAGTAAGGTTAAGATTTTGTCAGTTATTTTCAGTAAACGTCATAGACATGTCACTGTTGTTTACTAAAAGTAACAGTGACAAAATGTGGAGGGTGGAGTTCAGCACCCACCGCTGCTGTTCCCACAGTGACTAGAAACTCTGGGTGGGCATCTCTGCCGCCCAACAGCTCCAGCCCCACCACCTGGGGCTGAAGCAGAAAATGTCATGGAGGTCTCGAAATCACAGATTTTGTGACTTCTGTGACATAATCTTAGCCTTATATATAAGTAGGACAAAATTTGTGAGCTTAAAGTGGTCCCAGAAGACTGATAAAAAGGAGCACTCTCTACCATTACTACTAGACTGTTTAAGAGGTAAGCCGAATAGCAGATTTTGCAAACATGCAAATCTATTTGCTTAACAGGAGAGCTTACATTTATTGGAGAAAAAGCCAAAGAAATATTTTTAAAGAAAAGTGGTAGGATGAACAGATTTTACTTCTCTCAGAAGTTCCAGAAACCAAAATATCATGGTAGAAAGATGAGTTAGACACTAAAGTTGTGACATTAAGACAGGTGAACAAACAGAACCACGTTCTAACACAGTAATCAGGCAAAAGAAGGGGAAATATGATTTACTGTTTCTAACAGCTTCCATGTTTAGAAGTCTGGCAGTGTAAGTGATGAACATGAAGAGTATGTGGTCTATTCTAGAGGACAGAATATCCTCATTGAAACAAGACTGGTGAGCACAGGAACTCTATCACAGCTCCTCAAGGTGCTGAGGAGATGGGGCCTGCATGGCAGATTCCCACCATTAGTTCAATGACAGCAGAACTTGAATCACTTTTAGTTTTATTCTTGAAGTTTGAAATGAAGAATAAAAAAAGATACCTGCCAAAATTCACTTGTGGTAACATGACATTCTTCCCCAAAAAGGAAACTGCTTTAAAAAAATCAAGGAGGCAAACATGCCCTAAGTGGAAATGTAAATATTCCTGCCAAGAACAGAGACAGAAAAGCTGCAAGAGAGGTAACGTTTTAGGTATCAGATCACTCAGATCTATCCGTCAATACCAGCACGAATAACCCAGCTGTTTAGGTTTTGGAGTAGCAGCCGTGTTAGTCTGTATCCGCAAAAAGAACAGGAGCACTTGTGGCACCTTAGAGGCTAACAAATGTATGTGAGCATAAGCTTTTGTGGGCTACAGCCCACTTCATCGAATGCATAGAATGGAACACACAGAAAGATGATATTTATACATACAGAGAACATGACAAGGTGGGAGTAGCCATGCCAACTGTAAGAGGCCAATCAATTGATATGAGCTATCATCAGCAGGAGACAGAAAAAAAAACCTTTGAAGTGATAATCGAGATGACCCATAGAAGGTGTGAGAATATTTTAACCTGGGGAAATAGATTCAATTAGTGTAATGACCCAACCATTCCCAGTCTCTGTTCAAACCCAAGTTAATTGTATCTAATTTGCATATTAATTCAAGTTCAGCAGTCTCTCTTTGGAGTCTGTTTTTGAAGTTTTTTTGTTGCAAAATTGCCACCTGCAAGTCTGTCACTGAGAGGTTAGAGAGGTTGAAGTGTTCTCCCAGCTGTTTAGATTAATAATAGTCAAGATGTAATATAAATTACAATTTAAAATTTGGGCCTTTGGAAGCCACAATAGGGCTGAGTACTAATGTAGAATTAAAATGCTTACCTGGGGAGGGTAGTTGCTTTCTGAAGACCACCTTGAAGACTGATCATTAGGCTTGTCCACTAAAATATTCCTAAAAAGTGAAAAACAAGTGTAAGTTTACAATACTAATTTTTAAACCCAAAATGGTTAACTCGCAGAGAAAATACTACACTTCAGCCAATAGTTCCTATAGTTTGAACACAAACACATATGGTCCTGTCAACAATGCATTTATGAAGCTACCTAAGTTGCTATGTAGTTCTTTTTGAATTTGCTGCATAATTGTGTGGCAGAATCTAATTTTTTTAAAGATAAAAGTCAAGCCTCTAGTGCTTGCGGTTGTGACGATAATTCCAAATTGTGAAATAGATGAAAACCAATGCATTTATGTTTACCCAAGTCTGCTGACAACTTGAAACCTTAATTCAGAGAGGCATGAACTGTCTCATTCACCTCAACGGGGCATGAATTTTAAAGCCCAATGAGGTGTCATATGATACATTAACCATTTCACTGACTATCATTTTAACATAATCTAGCTAAAGTATACTTCTATTTGTTAGACACCATTGTTAGACTGGAATGGAGAGCAATGGAGCTGCTAGCTTGCTTTCAAGTTTTGCCACAGTGGGGAAATTAGAAATTCATCTCTCACCCTCAAATTTAAAGTCACCTTCACCCCTGTCAATAGGTCTAGACTGATGCACAGGACATGAAGTCTCATAAAATGCTTAACCTGCATTGCCTTCCCATGCATTAAGAGACACCAGTGACCACTGTGTCTTCCTTTGTAATTTAGCGTACTGAACTACTTTGGCTTGAAAGAAAGATATATGAATATGTGATGGTAAGAGGCACAAAGACCAAGTTAGGTGCCTGAACCTCAGTGGACAGAAGTCATCCTATTCCATTTTTTCCTTTGCTCAGGCTGGAGATCAGTTGAGTTCTCTGATCTGGGAAGCCCGTAGTAGGCAAAGCAGGGGAATGTAAAAAGATTTATTATCTCTCCATCTGCTGTGTAGGAGGAACTGTACACATATTGACTAGTATAGAAGATTGGAGAAGGGAAAGTTTATGTAAAAGCTTAAAGGGAAAAAGGTTAAATGAGAAGTTTAACAGGGTCATTCAAGAAGAGTAGCTCTCTCCACATACTAGAAACAGGAAGAAACATCAACATGTAAGGAGTCTCCAGATAGTCCGGTACTGGAGTAATGTTTAGGAAATACGCAGAGGAATGGACTAAGATAGCTGCCTGATGCCTGAGTTTGAGGACATACCAAAGTAATTTGGTTACATCAATTCCGCAAGCCAGGGGTGCTCAACCTACGGCCTGTGGGCCGTACATGGCCCACGAGAATATTTGAAGCAGGCTGCGGGCCTTATGAATATAATATACTAAGGACCGATTCATTAGTGTTTTGTCATGTTTACCTCATTTTAGTATACACAAGTGGGTAAACAGATAATACTGTACATAGAAACAACCTAACTTAAAATATAAATTAATACAGGTGACTTTAGATCTTAAGATGTGCAGAATCTGTAGACTAAGGGGGGATATGACAGAAGTCTATAAAATCATGACTGGTGTGGAGAAAGTAAATAGGGAAGTGTTATTTATTCATCCTCATAACACAAGAACTAGGGATCACCATATGAAATTAATAGGCAGCAAGTTCAAAACAAACAAAAGGAAGTATTTCTTCACACAGTGCACAGTCAACCTGTGGAACTCTTTGCCAGAGGATGTTGTGAAGGCCAAGACTATAACAGGGTTCAAAAAAAGAACTAGATAAGTTCATGGAGGATAGGTCCACCAATGGCTATTAGCCAGGATGGGCAGGGATGGTGTCCCTAGCCTCTGTTTGCCAGAAGCTGGGAATGGGCAACAGGGGATGCATCACTTGATCATTACCTGTTCTGTTCATTCCCTCTGAAGCACCTGGCATTGGCCACTATTGAAAGACAGGACAATGGGTTAGATGGACCATTAGTCTGACCCAGTATGGCCGTTCAAAGTTGTGCTGAGGTTTATGTGGCCCTCCTGTGATAAGGTTGGGCACCACTGCCCTAAACCCACAGAACTCCCAAGAAAGCAGAGTACATGATTGCACTCGATGGCCCCTCCAAGAAACATCTGAAAATTTTAAAAGATACCTCAGAGAGTGTTTGACTCACAGATTAGGGAGGCCTCTCTGACTCCAAGTGAGGACACGGCAGATAGTCAGGAAGAACCAAAGCCAAAGAAAATCAACTGAGCATCAAGGTGGACAGTAGGGAGTTGATCTGAATTTAAGGCCAAGACAAATGATCTGATATCTACGATTCTAGCAGAAAAAAAGGGAAGTTACAGTGATTCGATCTCTCAAATCAGTGTTAAAAACTGGCCAAGGAGAAACAATGGAGAGAGAGAGAGCTGCAGAACTGCTTGGCACTGATGGAGCAGAGAAAGAAGAGAGAGAGAGAGAGAAGAGAGAGAGGAGAGATGCAGCTTAAATCTGAAAAAAAATAGAAGAGAAACATTTGAATTAAAAAGTTGCCTGAAAATGCAGAGGGAGAAAACCCAATATGGGCTGAATATTTTAAACATGTACCTTTCCAGATTAAAGATCAATTTCAAGATAAGGAAGGACAGTTTCTTATTAAAAGGACACAACCACTAGGATATTAACAGGGGGCTCAGTGTATGCTCCCAATCAAAAGAAAAAAGCTCTAAACTTTGAGGATTTCTTTAAAACATTACATTTTGGAGAAGGGTAATTATACTTGGAGGAGACTTCTATTGTACACCAAATTCCTTACTGTCCCAGATTTGAAGACAACAACATAGGAGAGAAGGAAATAGGTGCAGCATTAACCTTTCTATAACAACTCAGTTGCTCAGATTGCTGGAGAGAACTGCACCCATGGGAATGAGATTATACATTTTAGTCACACCCTCGTTTATACACTAGAATAGATTTAATGTTAATCTCTAAATCAGTGGGTCTCAAACTTTTTTTTTTTTACTGGCGACCCCTTTCACATCACAAGCCTCGGAGTATAACCCCCCCCCCAATAAATTAAACACCCTTTTAATATATTTAACACCATTATAAATGCTGGAGGTAAGTGGGGTTTGGGGTGAAGGTGGATAGCTTGCGACCCCCCATGTAATGATCTTGTGACCCCCTGAGGGGTCCCGACCCCCAGTTTGAGAATCCCTACTCTAAATCCTTACTGAAGCAGATATGGTCTGCAGAAATTGGTGCCGTTACATGGTCAGCTCATGCCCATTCAAAGTAATATTTAATAAAAGGGATGGATGGATCCCAAAGATCATTTTTATGGGAAATTAACTGTTGCTGCTCCAGGTCAAAGATCCGGTTCCAGCAATTAAAGAGGATATTGTTGAATACTTTCAAATAAATGATAAAGATAAATATAAAGCGAGACAGGAAGTAATATTTAAGAATCAGTTGATAAGCAGAGCCTCATTTGAAAGAGCGCAAGAAAAATTAAAACTAACAGGAGATAAAAAGGTTAAAAGGAATTCATAAAAAACAGTTCAAGAAAGTATATTAATCGAGAGGAAACAATGTTTAGACACCACTGAGAAAGATTTTGCTAGAATACAGTGGAACTTTCTGTTTGAAGACCTGTCTCAAAGCATACATTATATGAAAAAGGAAATAAAGTGATATGTTATTGGACCAAATGCTTAAAGAGATGACAGCAATACATTATTTCACCAGCTAAGAACAATCAACAAAAGATAGCTACATACCCTAATGAAATATGTGCAGTTTTTCCTGCTTCTTATAAAAACCTATGTTGTAATAAATGAAGGGGGGAAGTGGCTTCCTTTTATGGACACCCAGCCAGCCAGTTTGCTATAAAATCCCTGTTAGTAGCTGTTCTCTACTTGTTTTACCTGGAAAGGGTTAAAAAAGCCCAGAGGTAAAAGGAAGGGAGTGGGCACCTGTCCAAAAGAGCCAATGAGAAGGCTAGAACTTTTTAAATTTGGGAAAAAACGTTCCCTTTGTCTGTCTGTTGTTCTCAGGAGAGAGGAGAGACAGCGCAGCAATGCTGTAAGACGCTTTAAACCAGGTATGAAAAATCATCAAATCATACCTCGAAACTACTTATCTGAAACCCCAGATATGTAAGTAGATCAGGGAATGTCTAGGAAGACGCGAGTAGGTTCATCTCTTATTATCTGTGCTAACCCCAGGTGTTTTTGTTTTGCTTGTAACCTTTAAGCTGGACCTCAAGAAAACCATTCTTGATGCTTAATTATTATATTTGCTCTTTTTTAAAATCTAGCAATAGCCTACGTTCCAAATATATTTCCTTTTTGTTTTTTAATAAAATTTACCTTTTTTAAGAACAGGATTGTGGGGGTTTGTGTCCTAAGAGTTTTGTGCATATGTTGTTTAATCAGCTGGTGGCAACAGCTGCCTTCCTTTGTTTTCTTTCTCGGCTCTTCCCCGGAGGGGGGGGAGGGGAGAGAGGGCTTGAGGGTACCCCACAGGGAAGAATTCCCAAGTGCACCTTCCTGGGTCCAAAGAGGTTTTTTTTGCACCTGGGTGGTGGCAGCATCTACCCATCCAAGGTCAGAGAAAAGCTGTATCCTTGGGAGTTTAATACCAGCCTGGAGTGGCCAGTATTAATTTTTAGAATCCTTGGGGGCCCCCACCTTCTGCACTCAAAGTGCCAGAGTGGGGAATCAGCTTTGACATATGTACTTCACATACTCCAAGCTATGAAGTGATTCAAGAACATCTGTAAGTAGCTGGTTTGCCAAAGATAAACAAAACAGATAAAGAAGCTTTAGATAAAGAAATAACACAAGTCTTCTTATAAACAATCATAAGTATGAAGAGTGGTAAAACTCCAGAACTTGATGGCTTCCCAGCAGAATTTTTACAAGATATTTAAAGAGGTATCAACAGGTCTGTGGAGGGGTACCTTTAATGCCATTCTGTTAAGGGAGGAACTTACTCCATGAAAGAAGCTACTGCTGCTCTCCCTAAAGATGGAAAAGACTTTACCATATGCAGCTCTTTATAGGCCCTTGTCACTGCTGAATCATGATAAACAATTTAGCAA